TTTGACTGATGCTTCCCGTTCGCTGCTCTGCCCATTGCATGGATCTCACCGTAAACCCTTCTGCCTGTCCCCATCCCTCCCAACCGTTTACTGCCCTCAGGGATCCTCTGCCGTTCACCTTTCTGATCACCATGCTCCAGCGCGCCTGCCGCTCGCACGAGCTGCTCTCATTGGTGGAGCGCATGCGCGCGCTAGACGTGCCCCTGGACGCGTACACGCTCACCACCGCACTCGGCGCCGCCATGCGCGTTGCTGACGTGGTTGCCGCTGAAGCCATCTGGGCCGAAATGACCGCCGCGAGTCGCGCCGGATCCGGCGGCGCTGGCGATGCTGCTGCTGGTGCAGCTGCCGTCACCGCCCCATCTGCCGTCGCGTTCACGATGATGATGTCGCTGTACGGCCGTGCCGGCCGCCTCGACGACGCGCTGCGAATGTTCCGCGAAATGAAGGCCGCGGGAGTAGCGCCGGACGGCAAGGCCTATTCCACCTTAATCGGCTCACTCGCGCGTGCGCTAAGAGCCGATGACGTCGAGGAATTAGTACATAAGATGACGGAGGGGGCTTCCGCCTCTCCCGCCGCCACCGGCGGCGCGTCTCCCTCGCAGCGCGTTCCGCCGTCGGTGTACACGAGCCTAGTCAGCATGTACGGGCGGCTGGGCCGGCTGGATGACGTGGCGCGCGTGCTTCGCGAGATGCGCGCGCGCAAGGCGCAGGCGGAGCAGAGCCTGTTCGTGGAGGCGGTGAAGGGGTGCACTGTGGCGCAGCGCAAGGCCACCGCCGCCGCCGTCGCCGCGCAACAGAGCGCGGGAAGCGGCGGAAAACAGCAGATAAGCAAGCGTCTCGAGGAAGAGACGGGCGGCGGTAGCAGCAGTGGCAGTAGCAGCTGCGTTACGAGCAGTAGCAGCTCCAGCAGCCACGTCAGCATAGGAGGAAGCAGCAGCGGGAGCGACGACGGGAGTGATACTAGCAGCAGTGCTAGTAGCGAGGAGATCTGTGCCCGCTCCGTTAGTAGCACCAGCAGCGGAGCGGAGGGGGATGGGACGTCGGCGGCAGTGGCGCAAGCAGCAGGGGCGACGGCGGCGGCTGTGGCGGCAGTGGTGGCGGAAATGCGCCTGTTGGGCTGGCGCCCTGATCCCGCCCTCCTCCGCAACCTCCTCTCCGCGCCTTCCCCCCAGTCGTCCCTCCGCTCTTCCCCGCCCTCCCCGTCCGCGCAGGCAGGGTACGCGCCCGCGGAAGATGCAAGCGCAGGGGCAAGGGCGGGTGTGGGGGCAGCAGGGTTTGACAAGGGCGGGGAAAAGTCGAGGGGGACGGGGGCATGGCAGGTGCAGGCTCCGCAAGCGGGTGCGGGGAGTAGGGTGGGCGGAACGAGCGGAGGGGGAATGAAGGGACGGGGAGGGCAGCAATGGCGGGAAGGCAATGGCGGAAGAAACGGATGGGCGCAAGGCGGAGGCGGAGGCGGGGGAGGGGGAGACAGGGGAGGCGCGGCGGCCCCCGCCCAGTCCGAATACTCGTGGTTCTCGCGCATTCTGCAGTGCAAGAGGCAGAGGAACTTCCAGGAAGCAGCGCGGGTATACGAGCGCATGCGGGCGGCGGGAGTGAAGCCGCAGCAGCAGACGCTGAGCCTGGCGATGGAGGTCATGGGCGAGCTGGGCAACGTGCAGGGCGCTGAGCGCGCGCTGGAAGAAGCTGAAGCTGCTGGCACGCCTGTGGACATTGTAAGTTGGGCCTGCGGACAGTGAGAGTATGTCAAGCCTGTGTGCGGACTGTGAGAGTATGTCAAGCCTGTGTGCGGACTGTGAGAGTATGTCAAGCCTGTGTGCGGACTGTGAGAGTATGTCAAGCCTGTGTGCGGACTGTGAGAGTATGTCAAGCCTGTGTGCGGACTGTGAGAGTATGTCAAGCCTGTGTGCGGACTGTGAGAGTATGTCAAGCCTGTGTGCGGACTGTGAGAGTATGTCAAGCCTGTGTGCGGACTGTGGCTCCAGCCAACCAGTCCAGCAGGGCTCACGAGCTCACGCACGCACTCGCTCACACACTCACTCAACCCACATCCTTCCCTACCCCACCCCACCTGCCATTACCGCGCGCCACCCCACCAGGTGTGTTTCAACACGCTGCTGAACGTGTACGCCAAGGCAGGGAAGTCAAGCAAAGCGCAGGCAGTGTTCACCCGCATGCAGGGGGCAGGGGTGACGCCCAACACGCGCTCATACACCGTGCTGCTCAAAGCACTCTCCAAGGACGGCCGCGGCAAGGAGGCTGTTGCTGCGTTCCGAGCCATGGAGCGTGGCGGCTGCCATTTGGATGAGGTGAGCTGTCATGGCAACTCCTTTGTCTTTTTGTTTGTTTGTTTGTTCTTGCAGTTGTCTTGTTTAGTTGTTTCGTTTTGACTCCTGGTTTTTGGCCCTAGGAGAAGAACCTCAGGTGCGAGGGTATCCTCCAACGGTACACTGACTCCACAGGGTGTCTTACATTTCTTATCCTGCAATGCTTCTTGGCCCTTCTCCCCGTCCCCCTCCCCAGATCGCCTACAACACGGTGATCAACGCGTGTGGCAACGACCTCCCAGTGGACGAGACCCTCCGCCTGCTCCGCGCCATGCGCCGCAGTGGCTACCGCCCGAACCTTGTCACCCGCAACCTGGTCCTCTCGCTCCTGGTCAAAGCCGGCCGCACAGCGGACGCCAGCGAGCTGTTTGAGGAAGCCAGGGCAGCGGGCGAGGAGGACGCGTTCATGTACTGCACCATGGCGCATGCGTTCGGGCGGCGGAGGGAGCTGGAGCGCATGGAGGGCGTGCTGGGGGACGCGGCTGCGCGAAGGATGGTGTCGCTGCCGCTGCTGAATGCGTGCATGGACGCGTATGGCAAGGCAGGGCTGCTGGCGAATATGGAGACCTGCCTGGCGCGCATCCGCTCGTTTGACTTTGTGCCCAACCACACCAGGTAGGTTGAGGGGTTGGGTGGACTGGTAGTATGTGTGTGGGTGGGTGTGCTGTTGCCTGTGCTAGTGACTGCCGCTGCTCAACGCGTGCAGATGCGTATGGCAAGGCAGGGCTGCTGGCTAGTATGGAGACTTGTCTGGTGCGGATTCGCTTGTTTGACTTTGTGCCCAACCACACCAGGTAGGTTCGAGTCCCCCCCTGCCTTCACTTTTCCCCTGCAGCCCTTCTCCCTCTTTGGACCTGCAGATTCAACATTGTGTGACCTGTCTTCTCGTTCCTTCCCCCGACACAAGCATGACCCGCCCGCTCCCACCCCTCTCCCACCCCTCCGCCTGCTTTCCCAAACCAGTTTCAACATAGTGATCCATGCATACGGCATGGCGGGAATGATCCCTGAGATGGAGGATGCACTAGCCCGCATGAGGCGCAGTGGCCTGCGCCCCGATGTGTACTCGTACAACATCCTCATCGGCGCCTATGGCGATGCGGGCATGCCTTGGGCATCAGTGAGCATGGTGCAGCACATGCACGCCGAGGGACTGCTGCCCGATCAAGTCACCTACCAGAACCTGGTCTCGGCGTTTGAGAGAGCCGGTGACTTCCTGGAAGCTGCACGCTGGTCGCTGTGGATGAAGCAGGCTGGGTTTTCTCCCTCTGGTGAGTCTCACTGCCTGTCCCCACTTCCTGGCTTCCTCACCTCACTCCCACAGTAGCCGTGTATGGGAATGCGGGCATGCCCACTAGCCGTGTATGGGAGTGCGGGCATGCCCACTAGCTGTGTATGGGACCAGGTTCTGGAGTGACCTGATCCGGCAGCAGCCCCTCTAGTGCACCTCTTGTGCCCCTCTTGTGCGCCTCTTGTGCCCCATCAGCAAAGCAACTAATGGCTCAGCAATTCCATCACTGATTTTTCCCTGCCTGCCCCCTCCCTCTCCTCCCTACTCCCTCCCTGCAGCACCCAGCAACAGCAGTTGTGTGAGTAATGATGGCGGCAACGCTGGTGCCAGTCGCAGCAGTGGCAGCAGCGGGGCCAAGAGTGCAGCAGGGAGCACCTCGAACCTGCCAGGAGCAGGGCAACTGCCATCCGACCTGCTGTGACTGACACGAGACGGGCTGTTGGCTTTGGAGAAGCCTCGAAGGCTGCAACAGGAGAGGAAGAGCACTCATTGAATGTGCTGGGATGGGATTGGATGGGCCGTCATCAGGATAGTTCACAGCCCCTCCAGCTGGACATGATGGGTCACCCCTGTCATCAAGAGGGTGGAGAGGCAGCCTTTGTGGAAGAGGGTTTGGGTGGAGACCACCCCAAAGGCTGTCTCTCTGCTAGACGATCACTCCACAGGGTTAGTTAGTTGGGCTGGAGCATCAGTGAAGTGCGTAGAAGGTATAGCAGCACTGTACGGTAGGAGTGCGACTCCTCGTCGTGCAAGGTATAGGGCGACATGCCGACCCTAGGCTTAGATGAAATAAGAGCGCTGGTGTGAGGGTTTCAAACCTGCCTCTCTGCCTTGCTGTGTTGCCTGTCTGTAGGCCTTGTTGGCCTGCCTGTGTTGATTTTCTTCCTTCGTGGCTTTCCATTTCTTTGTTTTGCATCTCCAGTATCCTGCTGTTGCCCCTTTGTTCCTCAGCCTCCCTGCTTCTACTCTCCTGCTCCCTCTTCCTGCTCTGCCTGCCTCTCTTGGCAACAATTGAGCTGCCATACTGTAGAATTTGCTTGCACAAGCAGTAGAGAATCTAGGTAGGCTAGACTACATTAGAGGTTTTACATGGTGATGTACTTGTTTCAAGTAGAAGAAAAGTGTTCCCTGGCTTTTTGTTTGTTAGCTCACATCAGCCAAGAAACCGAATAATAATCTCAAAAGATCATTTATTCAAACCAAACTATTTATGTACTACAAGACTGTACACATACAAACCAAGTGTCGGTATAACTACCTTCTACTGGTAAGCTACCTCTATAGTCTACTGTAGGTGTTTCACTGTATTCCTACCACCTCAAACCTTCCTACATTTCCTCCACTTCCACCAAAAACCACCAGTCTCCCTACCTCGCACCCGCCTACCCACCTCCGCAGGTATGGCAGGGCACATGCCCAGTATCATCACAATGTGAGCATATCCTCATGCCATAACTCGTCACCACCTTGTGGTTACCACCGCACTGCCGGCACGTAACCACCTTGCTACCCCCACACGTCCCACACCCTGTCTTCCCCGCATCATCATCAGTGGTCGGCAACCCTTGGACTAACTCAGCAAGAAAGTAATCATCATACATCTGGAGCACAGTATCGGCATCTCCAATGTAGCGGCCGCAGATGAAGAGGCGGGGAACGGAGCCGGCTGCGGCTGCTGCTGCAGGGGTTGCTTCTCCGGGTGCCATGAGTGTTTTGAGCTCTTGCCTGTAGGAGACGCGCATGGAAATGTCTCGCTCCTCGTACACCACTCGTAGGGCCTGCAGGGGGGAGGTGTGGAGAGAAGGAATGTAAGAAAGTAATCATCGTACATCTGGAGCACAGTATCAGCGTCGCCGATGTAATGCCCACACATGAAGAGCCCGGGAACAGAGCCCGGGAACAGAGCCCGGGAACAGAGCCCGGGAACAGAGCCCGGGAACAGAGCCCGGGAACAGAGCCCGGGAACAGAGCCAGCTGTGTTTTGAGTCGACTCAAAACACACAGAGCCAGCTGCTGCCGCTGCGGCTGGAGAGGCTGCGCCGGGTGCCATGAGCGTTTTGAGCTCCTGGCGGTACGAGACGCACATGGAGATGCCCCTCTCCTCGTACACCACTCGCAGGGCCTGCAGGGATGTAGGGGGGAAAGTGTGATTGAGGCGCCTACTGGACAATGCCGCCCTCCCAATAGGCCATCGTAAGGGCCTGCAGGCGAAGGTATGAGGTGGCGGGTCTCGTTTATTGGCATCAGGTTGGCACATGGCGAATGGCAGATGGCGCATGGCAGATGGCACATGGCAGATGGCGCATGGCAGATGGCGCATGGCAGATGGCGCATGGCAGATGGCGCATGGCAGATGGCGCATGGCAGATGGCGCATGGCAGATGGCGCATGGCAGATGGCGCATGGCAGATGGCGCATGGCAGATGGCGCATGGCAGATGACGCATGGCAGATGGCGCATGGCAGATGGCGCATGGCACCTGGTGAAGAAGAAAGAATATGCCATCGGAAAACAAACAGGCCATCCATCGTACCTGCAGCACGTTCTTCACTTTGACGCAGTCCTCAAAAGTTTTCCTTACTGCCCGAAGTGTGGTGGTATACACCACCACTGCGTCTACCCCGCCCGGCGGGAAGCGCTGTTCGAAACTTTCTAGCAGCTGAGACCTAGGAGGAGGGGGAGGGGGTCCAGGGGGGACAACCGGCTTTGCTTCTACTACTGCCTCCTCCTCTTGTGCTGCTGCACCCGCCTCCTTCCCTGCATCACCTGCCGCCTCTCCTGCTGCAGCGTTTGCCCCTTTCTCCTCTGCCGCAGCACCAGGCTTGGCAGACTCAGCGTCAGCTGCATTAGCAGAGGCCACAACAGCAGCCACCCATTTTCCTCGCACCCCTCCGGCACCACCGCCAGCAGCAGCAGCAGTAGCCGCAGCGCCACCAACCGCACCAGCAGCTGCGGCAGCAGCAGCAGCAGCAGCGGCATCAGCAGCCGCGGCTGCTTCCAACTGGGCAGCCAGTCTCGCAACAAGCCCTCCCTTGATACCCTTCCTTTCCTTCTCCACTGCCGCTCCCCTCGCCCCCTCTGCGTCTGCTGCTGCAGCCATAGCAGCAGCCGACAGAGGGGCGGCAGCAGCAGGAGCAGCAGCGGGAACAGTAGTAGGAGGAAGAGATGGAGGAGCAGAAAGAGTGTTGACGGCAGCAGAAGAAGACGCAGGTTCAACACGAGAAGAGGCGCTAGCTTTACCAGCAGTCCCCAATTTGAGAGGCTCTGGTGAGATGCTCCCTCCAAGTGCTGCTGCTGCGACTGCTGCAGCTTCAGTTCTCGATCGCTCTGTAAGTGGTGCTGCCTGCACTGCACTTGCCGGGTGTGATGCATGCGCTTGCATGTGCTGTGCTGCTGCTGATGTGTCTTCTTTTGGCGCTGCTACTACTGATGCTGCTTGTGTCGCCGCTCGTGTTTTTGCTGGTGTTGCCTCTGGTGCTGGTGCTGGTGCTAGTGCTGCTGCTGCTGCTGTTGCTGCCACTGCTGGTGGTGCTAATGCTGCTGGTGCTCTTGCAACATCAACCCTACCACTGTCAACCCTGCTATTGTCACTCTTGCCACCATAAACCACACTGTCAACCCTACCACCATCAAAGCTTCGTCTCACAGCACTGGGATCCGTCACCTGTCGCAGTGAAGGGCTGCTCACCCCGCCGCGCAAGCTGCCCTGCCTGGGACTCGCCACTCTGCCCGGCCCCCCTGCCAGCGGTACACTGCCCCTGCCTGGCAGTGCTGGAGTTGATGCACTCGCTGAGGCACTCGCTGATACGCCCATCCCTCCTGCTGTCATGCCTGCAGGCCGTGGGCTGGCTTGCCCTATTCCCACGCCCCTGCGCATGGGGCTCACTCTGCCGCCCACCAGAGCAGCCTGCATGGGACTAACCCTACCGCCCACCATAGCAGCCTGCATGGGACTAACCCTACCGCCCACCATAGCAGCCTGCATGGGACTAACCCTACCGCCCACCATAGCAGCCTGCATGGGACTAACTCTGCTGTTTGCCACGGAAGGATGCATGGGGCTGGCAAGGGGGGTGATTCGCTGCCAGTCCGCTGCACTGTGCTGCTCCAAAGCCGCTTCCATAGCCTCCAGTAAATCCGGGTCGAATAGGAAATCGCCCACATCCACTCCCGCTCCCTCTCCCTCTCCTCCTCCCTCTCCCTCTCCCTCTCCCTCTTCTTCTTCCTCCTCCTCTCCCTCTTCCTCGTCCTCCTCTTCCTCCTTCCCCTTCCCCTCCTCAGCTTCTTGGTCGTTCCTGTTTGACCCTTGTTCTGGCACTCCCTCCTTCCTGGCAGCTTCCTTTCCTGCCCCCGGATCTGCAGCAGCACCTGTAATAGCAGCATGCATACCAGGACTCGCATGCGCCCTAGTGCCTGCACCTTCCACTCTGCCCTCTGGAGGCTCACCTGTGCGACCTGACTTTTGAGGCGCCTCAAAAGTCGTGCCAGCACTCGCATGCACTCTACTGCCTGCACCTTCCACTCTGCCTTCTGGAAGCTCGCCTGTGCGACCTGAACGCCCGCCCGTGCCTCCTGATGGCTCGTATGTGCCTGCCACAATGGCGGCAATGGCTGCGGCATCGGATACAGAGTTTGCTGTTGCGTCATCTGCTGCGGTTGCTCTCTTTGCGCCCGCTCCCACAGCAACAGAGCACGTGGCAGTGCCAGCACCAGCTGCAGCGTCCGCACCACCAGCAGCGCCAGCACCAGCAGCAGCGCCCGCACCACCAGCATCAGCACCACCCACAGGTGCTGCAACGGCCGAACTAGCAACATGGGCCACCCCTACACCAGCAGCAGCACCACCCACAGGTGCTGCCGCCCTCTGCCCCCCACTCCCAATCGCATCAGCCCCTGCACCAGCCTTCACCCCTTTCTTCTTCTTTGTCTTCTTGGGAGTCTTCTCCTCGCCTTCCTTCGTCCCCTTCACCCCCTTCTTCTTTTTCTTCTTCTTCTTACCAGTCCCCACCCCCGGAACTGCTATTCCTGTAACCCCTTCCCCTTTACCTCCCTCTCCTCCTCCACCTTCCCCGCCCTCCTCATTCCCATCCGGACCAGTCCCTTGGTCAGGGAGTAGGTTCAGCAGCAGCTGCTCCAGCGTCTGCTGGTACTCCCTCTCCCTGCGAAGGTCCTCTTCAAAGCTCGCCAGAACATCTGGATCGAAAATGAACTCCTCTGCACCGTCTTGCAAACCGTCTGCCATGTCAGCCCACTCACCTCCGTCCAGCCCGGAAGCACCTAACAACTCTCCATTTTCCGCGTCCACGTCAGCACCGTCTCGCTGGTTTTCCGAGTCCAAGCCATCATCCCTCGCTGCTCCCTGAGTCGTTGCTTCTCCACCCTGTAACGCCTTCGCTGCCAAGGTGTCCCCAACTACAACCACAGCTGCTCCGTCAGCTGCTCCGTCAGCTGTTCCGTCAACTTCTCCGTGAACTGCTCCCTCAGCTGGCTCATAATTTCTCATAAAATCACCGACTCTCTCTTCCCTGTCATCACCTGGCGCGGGTTGCTTCGATTCCACCTCTCCATCTCTTATCGCACTTGCTCCTGCCTGCTCCTCCTTCCCCTCCTCCTCCGCCGCCGTTGCCGCAGCTGCCGGATCCCGCTTCTTCGGTTTCCCATGCATACTCACAGTCTTCGCTCGACCCTTTCCTCTGGACTGTCCGCGCCGCTCTTTCGTCGACGAAGCGGCACCATCGCCGTCGACGCGACTGCGGGGATCGGGCTTTGACTGGATGCATCCCATTTGGCGTGAATCGATTGACTTCACGTACTGCGCGCGAGACGCATCAGCTTACAGCTCATTTGAGACGTGGCAAGGATTGCAAAATTCGGTCGTGTACGAAACGCATCCCATTCGGCAGGGTAAGTGCGTAGGGCCAGCTAACTTTTTTGCGTTTAGCAGGACAGTTACTGACATTCTGACGTATGCATTTCGTAGGGCCGGGAAACGAACGGTTGCGAGCGCGTGAAGCGTCAAGACACAGATAGTAGAGGGTATGTACGGTGGATACTGGAAATGGTATGCGCAAACGTGTGGGAAACAATTTCTGTACGAGAAATAGCTACGGAACCGCGTGATTAAAGCCAGGATCTCAAGTAGTTTGGCTGTTTTGCAGTTAGTGAATTGTGTTAGGCTGTGATTGGTTGACGAGGTAGAGTAGTTGACGAGAGCTGAAACGAGGGATGCGAAGCAAACAAAAATCGCAGTGAACTTCCGAACCAACTAGGCACGGAAATCTGGTTGGGTTCCGAAGCTCATTTCCCAGCCATGTGTCTCACTTGCCGAAAAATCTCATGTACAGCAATTTGTTTTGCAATTGAGATTCACGGGCAAATCGGGGATCAGTCGCACACTGAACCTCCAACCCAACCACTCGATTTCGCCTAAACAAGCAGGGTGACTCGAGCTGCAAGTGTTTTGCAATTGAAGCCAATTTCTCTTACTTGAGATCCTGGCTTTAAGGAGTTTCCCTTGGCAGAGCTCTGAGTCTATGGGCAGTCTGGCAGCACAATTTGGAATGTGTGATTTGGGAAAGAAGCTGATTGGCGGGCAGCGCGTCAGGAAAATCCCGAGCCCCGTTTTTCCATGGTCACCACAAGTTTGGAGGGAAACTCGTGACAATTCCGAGGGAGGAAAGCAGAAGTCTGAACAGTTGCACTGACGTGCTCACTGACAGCCCCTAGGTCTATAAGCAATGGTAACTCAGCGAGTCAGACTAGACGAAGAGTTTTGCGACATCCACGACATACAAACGTCAGGGAAAAACAAGGTTTTCCGTCCGTCGCGAGGTGGGTTCTGCTTCAACTCGTCACGAACACGTCTCGTAAGAACATTTTCCCAGGAAACCGTACCGGACCATCTTATTCCTGCCACAACCGCTCTGTAACGTAAGTAAACGTACTGAAATCATTTGAACCAGATTACCAGAAGAAACATGATATGAACACCATAACACCCCTCGAGAATGCATCAGTGACTGAAGCGCCATGGCCCAATTTTTGCCTTAGAGAGTTATGAATAAACCGCGACAAGTAGTCGCTGCTTACTCGATTCCATGAATTAATGTTTTTGTTGTCGTGCTCGGTTCTCTGTCGAAAAGCATCAGTGGGTCCCACAGGCTAGCAACGTCACATTTTTTTCCACCTTTTCAGCAATCTCGTCTCGTGCTAGCATGGGCCTTGAGAGCGACTGCGTGCGCGCACTTCTTCCGTGAAACATCTTCGCAGAGAGACGAGCTTCGCAAATGCTGTATAGGAACGTTTGAAGCGAGATGACACTTCACGCTGCTGACGACTTTGCACTGCTGCAGCGATCTAGGAAGTTGCCGTCAGTCCGACGCGTTACGGATCGCAGTGCAAGTAAACAGAACGCGGCTGGTCGAGTCATGCCTCATAGCAAGTCGAACCGTAAGCGAGTCAGGACATCTGACAAGTCAAACGGCGGCGGCGACGAGCCCCATTGCGAGGCCACGCCAAGCAGACGGAGAGGAAAAGGACGATCAGTGGGGAATGGATCTCAGGATGCTAGCAACGGTAACGATCCGCGAAATGATTCCCCATCACTGGCGGCAACGGGGAGTACGACGGAGACAACACCAATTGCGAAAGTCAGATCGGTTTCACCGCAGCAGCTTCTGACAGATGCTCAGCGCGCTGCTGCTTTTCACGATCCTAGCGTCCCACTGCTCGTCGTCGCTGCTGCTGTGAGTGGGATACAGACGCCATGATTTGCTAGTGCTGCAAGGTCACTCTTGATTTACACGTGTCGTCCAACCTCTGTGCACAGTCACTCGCTGCATTGCATATCCGTTCTTTGAGTGTGATAAACGCGAACTGATGAGTCTATGGTGGAGTCCTTTCAGCTGACAACCAGCTCAGCTCAGCTCAGCTTGTGCCTCCCTTCGCCTAACATGCTTGTGTCTCATCATGCTTGTGCGTCCACGCGTTTCTGGGCTTTCAGGGCTCGGGAAAGACTTCTGTCATCTGCCACCGCATCATACACCTTATATCCCAGGTAACACCCACAATTTTTATTCTTAATACAGCAAACAGATTAGTTATGACTGTGGATCTCTATAGCCTACGCTTATGCTCCAGATCGCTGCAGCTCAAATGTCAACGCATCGGAAGTTTTAAATGTCTAGCTTGTTTTCTCTGAAACGTTACACTGCACTACTGAATAAGTGTGTCCTTTTCCTCTCTCCATTCTCTTCCCCATGCTCCCTTCCATCCCTCTCCATCTCTCTCTATTGTTCCAGGGTGTACCTCCCAATGAGATCCTCGCAGTCACAGTGAGTCACGGTACCACAGGTTGAGTCAAATGCATGTCCGCAATGTTCCAGCCTTTGATGCTCGCCTTGAAAAAATCGCTACTCAATCTTCAGTTTCTGTTTAATGCCGTTTCCATTAGTGCATCTCTGTTTCATGTTTTCCAGAATGGTGATGTTGGTCTGCAAGCTGGCCGCTGGTCTCTCTTTTCCCTTTCGCCTCCTCTTCCTCCCACGCCTCTTTCCCCCCTCCCCCTCCTCCTTCCCATTTCCTTCCCCATCTTGGTCCCTCTGTTATGACCCTATGTGTCCAATCTACGTCCACTCCCAAAACGTGTTCCCTCTCCTGCAGTTCACGAGGCGAGCGGGTCAGAGCCTAAGGCACCGACTGCACCAACTCGCAGCAGCAATGGAAGCACATCGCTCCAACAACGCACAACTCTGCACTGATGTTTCCACCGGAGCTGCTGCCCGACCCTCATCTGGATCTGCAGCAGCGGTGGCAGCAGTAAGTGCAGCAGCGGTGGCAGCAGTGCGCATCTCCACCTTCCACTCCTTCTGCCTGCAGACCCTCAGGCAGTTTGCGCACCTGGCGGGCCTGCCTAAGGACTTCACCGTCTTCCCTCCCAAGATGCAGGTCGGCGCCCGCTTTATTCCCTCTCTGCCTGCTCCGACCGCATTCTGTCCCGTCCATTCTGGTCGACCTTCTTCAATCTGCTCCAATGCATTTCCTCTTTTGTAGCCTAGATTTTCCCCTCAAGATGCAGGACAGCATGTTATTCATGACCTGGCCTAATCTGCGTTAAACAGCCTAGCTCACTCTTGCCTTGTGCATGTGGTGCATGCAGGCAGAGACGTTGATGGAGCTGCTGCAGGAGTGGGCTGAGAGGAAAGCCGTAGAGGCAGGGGAGAGGGAAGGAGAGCACGGGTCCAGTCGAATAAGTGTGCCATCAGGCAAGAAAGTAAGCAGCACTCTCTCCTGCTCTCGTCTCTGGTCTCTGCGAAATGGTCCTGAACGAGTGTTTATGTGAAACCTGAGTAATACGCTCCTGATTTGCTTCTGTCTGTTGGCACTGATTTTCTTCTGTCCATTATCGTTTCTTGACTCGATATCTTTCGTTCACCACCGCACCCCACTCCATCCCCATCGCGCTTCACCACACTGCACCACACATCCTACCAGCTGCACTTCATCATCCGTCGCTTCCTGCACGAGTTTGGCCGCCTGGAAGCCGAGAACGCGGCCATGCAGGTGCTGCAGGGCTCTCGCCCTCGGCACCAGGCAGCAGCAGCAGCAGCAGCAGCAGCAGCAGCAGCAGCAGCAGCAGAAGCAGCAGCAGCAGCAGCAGCAGCAGCAGCAGCAGCAGCAGCAGCAGCAGCAGCAGCAGCAGCAGCAGCAGCAGCAGCAGCAGCAGCAGCAGCAGCAGCAGCAGCAGCAGCAGCAGCAGCAGCAGCAGCAGCAGCAGCAGCAGCAGCAGCAGCAGCAGCAGCAGCAGCAGCAGCAGCAGCAGCAGCGGCAACCTCATCGCCAGCATCGAATTCAGCTCCAGGTGCTGCTGCTTCTGGGGCGAGCGGTCGTGCTGCTGCTGTGAATCATGGTGGCGTGCAGAGAAGGAGGCGGATATCGTTTGGAGGAGACGGTGGTGGTGGAGGAGGGGAGGGTGATGAGGATGGCGGGCTGTTTGCGTGGCTGTGGAAGCAGTACCGCCGCCGCCTCGTGCTCAACAAGGCCGTCGACTTCTCCCAGTTCGCCCCGTGAGTTACATGTGATCTTCACGTGACTTTTGAGTCCACTCAAATGTCACGCAGTACCGCCGCCACCTCGTGCTCAACAAGGCAGTCGGGTTCTCCCAGTTCGCCCCGTGAGTTACACTGCAGGTTTACAATCTGTGGTTCAGCTGTAAACTCCTCTTTCACGACAAACTAACACACTTTTCTCCTCCCCTTCTCTCCATTTCAAAGCATAGTCACGGCCCTTTCTGTGCCATTGTGTTGGTGTGTGGCAGCAAGGCGGTGAAGTTGCTGCACGCACATCCAGAGATACTCGCATCGAGCAGCGTGAGCAGCAGCAGCAGCAGGGAGCACGTGGGTAGCAGAGCCCGCACTGCTGCAGCTGCAGCTTCGTCCAGGAGTCACCTGCGTGTGTCGCATGTGCTCGGTACGACTCTCACCATCTCCTTGTCTTCTGTTAGATCTCAGCTTCCGTTAAATCTCAGCTTCCGTTAGATCTCAGCTTCCGTTAGATCTCAGCTTCCGCTTCCTGATTGTCAACACCTCACTCATCCCCCATCCCTCGTCCTGCTATCCATCTCCTCCGCCCCTCACCCAACGGTCTGTATGGAACCCATCCGGGCCATCCCCCCTCCCTGTCCGACTTCTTCCCTAGTTATCTTTCCTTTCCGCTCCACCACCCCTCCCCACCTCCACCCCAACACGCGCCAGTGGACGAGTTTCAGGACACTGACAGCTGTCAGATGGAGCTGCTTCTGCTGCTCTGCCGCCCGCTGCCGTCCGCACCAACCCTGACCCTCGTGGCCGACGACGACCAGCAGATCTATTCCTTCCGTGGCGCCATGGGCCTGCCGAACCTGCGCCGCTTTCTCCGAACCTACCCGCAGGCTCGGACGGTCTGCCTCGACCAGAACTTCCGAAGCTGCGGCTCGGTGGTAGAGGCCGCCCGCCACGTCATCGCTCACAACCAATGGCGGCACGCCAAATGGATGGTCACAGCAGCGCCAGTGGGCCCGCTTGTCTCTTTATGCGAGTGCCGCACGGATCGGTGCGAGGCGGCAGCTGTGGTCGGCAAGATCTGTCATCTAGTGGGGTCATGCGGGGTGCCGGCGAATCAGATTGCAATACTGTACCGTGTGCAGGCCGTGGGAAAGGTGATTCGGCAGTATCTGAAGAGCCATGGGATCAAGGTGTCTTCTGCTGCAACTGGAGGAGGGGGAGCAGGAGGCTTTGGAGGTGGAGGAGGGGGAGGAGGAGGAGGGACGGCAGGAGGAGGGGAATGGGGAGCAGCAGAGGAGGATGGGGTAGCAGTAGCTGCAAATGGTTTCATAGCAGAGGGGGGTAACAGTGCGATGGCTGGAGCTAGGGAAGGGAGGGGGACGGGGACAGTAGGAGCAGTTTTCCATGATATCCTGGCACTCCTGCGATTGGCTGCCAATGAATCGGATGACGTGGCATGTCGGCAGGTCCTGCGCTTTGTGTGTCCGCCGCCCACCCGCCAGGTGGCGATCTGTCTGCGCACGCTACAGTGCGCCCCGCACCGCATCTCCCTCCTGCCTGCCGCCCGCATGACTCGTCTGCACCTCCTCGGCATCTCCCGCTGCGCCGCCCTCTCCAACGTGTCTTCTACCAACCCCAGCGGTGCTACTAATGGATCAGCGGGCAACAGCAGTGCTTATAACGGATCACACTCTACCCATGCACACAAAGCAGCCGACCCTGCATGGCCCCACACGCTCTCACCAGATGACACGGAGGTCCTAGAGGGGATAAAAAAGATGGCTGCAGCAGTATCGGAGCTGCAAGGTCTCCTGGGCATCCCCCCGCCTGGCTGGTCTTCTACCCCTGCTCCTGCCTCCTCTGCTCCTGCCTCCTTCGCTTCTCCCTCTGCTTCTCGCCCCCCCGCAAGCAGGAGGAGAGGCAGTGCTACTGGGATCATGGGTCAGGGTGGTGGGCCCACGTCCTTACCTGCGATTTTCCACGGAGAAGGAGGAGGGGAGGAGGAGGAGGAGGATGGGGTGTTCTGTGAGGCTTTGGTGAGGTGTGCACTTCGGTTTGTACGAGCAGTGAGGGGTGGGGAGGGGCGGAGTGGGGCGGGGGTTGGGGCGGAGGTGGTGGTGCAGGGGGTGTTAGGGGGCGGCGGGGGAGGGGGAGTGGTCGGAACGGTTGGTGGAGGAAGGGGGGTTGGTGGGACTGGTGGAGGAGGGTGGGGAGGTGGGCGTGGGATGGGGGGACAGGGGGGAGGCGCAGGTGCGTTGGATCCAGCCATGTTTGCCGGTGTGAGAGCTCTGCTTCTAGAGGCTGCGGCTTTTGACAGGGAGAGGAGGCATATGCGGCAGGCGATGCAGGCGAGAGTAACGAGTGCTGCAGCAGAAGTGGCGTCAGCAGCAGGAGCAGCAGCAGGAGGAAAAGCAGCAGGAGGGGCTGCTCTGAGGAAAGCAGGTGAAGGAGCAGAAGCAGTGAGGGGAATGGGGTTGGGAGATGTGCCAGGAAGGGTGGTGTCAGGGTGTGATGCGGGGAGCGAAAGAAACAACAGCGGCAGGCACATGGCCAATCCAGGTGGCTACTTCTCCCCAGCTACCACCCCTGTGAAAGACCGCTACAGTCTGGGCGGCAGCAGTGAGAGCAAGCAGGGTGGCAGGAGGCCGAGCTATGCGGACCTGCTGCTGCAGCGTGAAGGAGTGGTGGGAATGGTGGGCGGCAGTGGAATGGCACAGGGAATGGGGCTTGCTCGATGGTCCAATGCTGCAGGGGCTAGCACCGCAAGGCAAGCTGAGTTTGAGAGACGGATGGGGAGGCAAGGAGAGGTGGACTTGCACGATCCCAGTGCTGGTGCTGGTGCTGCTGGGTACATTCGTGGTGATGGTATTGATGGTGAAAATGGGAACAGAGAGGGGGAGGTGGAGAGGGAAGGTGAGGAGGAGGGGGAGGAGGGGGAGGTAGTGGTTCAGTTTGTGGATCGAGTGATGGAGAGAGTGCATGAGAGGGAGCTCGGGGTGGGTGTGGAGGAGGGGTTGGGAGGGGTGGGGGACAGTGCTGGTGAGAGAGAGAGTGCGGGGGGACGTGGGGGTAGGCGAGCAGGGAGGGGGGGTGAGGGGAAGGGGCGGGGGAGTGGGGGGAGTGGGGGGAGTGGGGGGAGGGAGAGTGAGCAGGAGAGCGGGGGAGTGGTGCTGAGCACGATTCACCAGGCCAAGGGGTTGGAGTGGCAGGCTGTGATTGTAGTGAGGGCGAACGAGGGCGTGCTTCCACTGGTGGACTTCAGTAGACTCACACATACCCCTGCCACTGCCACCACCACCAACTACTCGCCCACGCCCCAAACCCTACCACCAACAACAACGAAAACGACAGCAGAAGCAGCGGCAGCAGCGACGGTGGCCGCACAGGGGGCAGGAGGGGCAGTGGGAGGAAGAGAGGGGTGTGGGCGTGAGAGTGGGGTGCGGCCCCTTCCTCCTCTGCCTGCCATGCCCCCGGACTATGACGCTCAGTTGGAGGAGGAGGTAAGCCGAGATATTTGAAACTTTTAAGAATCATGACTTCTCCAAAACTGAGACGTCTCAAAGTTTGAAACTTTTCCAGCCTGCCAGGCCCCCAGTCTAGGACGCTGAGCTTGAGTAGGAGGTGGTGGGGCGTGTGCATGTGTTTTCTGGGAATGTACGAGTGCATGGATTCATCTGTCTGTGCATCACATGTTCCCTGCGTCTGCATCACATCACACATTCCTTCCTCAATGCATCTGCATCTTCCCTGCATCTGCATCATCCCTGCTTAACTGCATATTCCCTGCATGTGCCCCACTAATCCTCTCCTCATCGCAACAGAGGAGGCTCATGTACGTGGCGCTCACCAGGGCACAGCAGCATCTCATGGTGAGTGTGCACACCTGCACTCCACCTTCCCTCCACCCATGCGTCACTCACAGAGCTCACTGAAGGCCGAGTTGACTGTCCAACTAGACACTCATTTTGCCTGGTATCAGACTGCCCATTTCTCCTGCTCCTCTTTTCTGAACATGCTCCACCTGTACTGCTTTTTCATCGGCTCAGGTCACTCATGTGATGTCTGCTTCGGGCCAACCAATGCTGCCATCCAGATTCCTCGCAGAGCTCCCTCCGTGTAAGCAATTTATCACCAACCTAAGTGATCTGAACGTGTGTACGCATTTTTGTACTAATATGAATGAATCCCGTTCAGTTGATCCTTGTAGACCTGACATGCCTCTCCTCTACTCATCAACCTATCATACCATCTGATAGTGTGCTTACCCTGCCATCGAATATGCAGCTGCGGTGTATCGCACAACTCAGTACGACGAGAGGCCTACCAATCATGTGCAACAGTTCGTGTCGCAACCATCACCCTAGATTATGATGTCTTGGATATCACAGTCACATAATTCACTTCAAGCACTTTCTTGCTCTCAAATCCATTTCTTTGGAGGATATAAGGACTTGTGTACCAAAAATGTGAAGGATGCACAGTGGCGTGATGGGCATGAGATTCTTTTGGGTTGCGAAGCAACCCTTCACGATCGATTTTGCCAGATTTTATTTTCATGTTTATCATTTTTAATAGAACATGAAAAAAAAATCCGTAAACTACAGTACCCTTCCCACACCGTGTGCATGTTGAAGAATTTTAAATGTTGTTCACAATATATTAAACCATATGTTTTTCTGGTCAGTGGTTTGGTGAATATATGCTGTACTGTTATATATTAGTATGTGTTACTATTAAATGGTGCTGTGGTAATGATAAATAGATGCATGATGCATATATAATGCTATATGATGCATAATGTTTAATAGTATGATGTCATGAATCATGATGCACATGCATGCACACAATAAAATGCGTGACAGTTAACGACCCAAAAACTAAGCTACCGCCATCCCCTGCCTAGCATGGGGGGGAGGTCAATAGCATAGATTTTGAATAATCAACAATCACATGAAACAACACAATCTGTGAAATCTAAAAAAGAAGTCAACTCTATCAAATCCAGTTCGAAGTGGTCGCACACGAGTCACTGAGTGCGCCAATGAACCTTATGTGAAATGATAGACCTAAGCTTTCTTTTTAAAAATCACAGACATGCATTGTTATTGCAATGGATATGGAGATTTATACACCGAGAACACCCACGCACACACATGAACATACACACACATACAGACACATACAAACACATGCACATTCAAACAAACACAAAAGCTCAATGCACAAGCTTTACAAACAATAAAACAGAAGCAAATGAAATTTACCAATACAATACGATCCTACAGGTCACCGTCATCACTGTTATCTTTCCACTTCAGAAGTTGACTAGACTGCCTCAAGAAAACAGCAAAGCCTCTGAGGAGTACAACATAGAAAAAAAAGGGGAGGGGGGGGGGGACAGAAGGGACGAATGAGGAGGGATTTTAGTGTCGCAAAAAAAGGTGCGACAAGTTGCACATCAAACACAGCAGAAAACAGAAGCATAATGAGGAAGCAGAAAACGGAAGCATCACACTGAAGGAGTAAACAGAAAAAAAAGGAGGAAGGAGGGAAATAAATATGATTCACCAAACTGAAAGCGGAATAAAAACCAGCAAAAAGAAGTGGAAATAAACAAAAGGGAAGACAAGATACAAGTAGGAATCGAGATAGGAAAAGAGGACGGACGAAAACAAAGGAATGACTGAAAAAGAGAGAACGAAAGAGAGAGAACGAGAGAGAGAGAACGAGAGAGAGAGAACGAGAGAGAGAACGAGTGAGAGTGAGAGAGAGAGAGAGAGAGAGAGAGAGAGAGAGAGAGAGAGAGAGAGAACGAGAGAAAGAGAACGAGAGAGAGAGAGAGAACGAGAGAGAGAGAGAACGCGAGAGGGAGAACGAGAGAGAGAGAACGAGAGAGAGGGAGAACGAGAGAGAGAGAGAGAAAACGAGAGAACGCGGGAGAACGAGAGAACGAGAGAGAGAGAGAACAAGAGAGAGAGAACGAACAAGAGAAAGAGATGGAGAAAGAAAACGAGAGAGAACGAGAGAGAGAACGAGAGAGAGAGAACGATAGAGAGAGAACGGGAGAGAGAGAACGGGAGAGAGAGAACGAGCGAGAGAGAACGGGAGAGAGAGAACGGGAGAGAGAGAGAACGAGCGAGAGAGAACGGGAGAGAGAGAACGGGAGAGAGAGAACGGGAGAGAGAGAAACGGGAGAGAGAGAACGAGCGAGAGAGAACGAAATGGACTGAACGTGCAACCTATTACAATCTTTATGTACAACCTAAGACGAGGTTGAAAAAAAAAAAAAAAACTAAAACATGCAAATATGAAGAAAAGGCAACCGACGAAAGGAAAGTTGAAGGATGAAGAATAGAAGAAACAGATGCAAGCTTATGCAGGAAGAAACGAAATCTTACAAAGGGCCTAGAACCTACGTTTAAACAACTAAGTCTAGCTAATACTCATCCATTTACACAGTAAGGATACGGATTGACTAAATGTTACTCTATCTAATAGGCATCTAACTTAGTTGGAGCTAGAGCTGAGGGATCTTCTTACCTAAGTTGCAGTCAGAGTAGGTGGAGAAGCTGGTAGAGCGTGACCAGCGAGAAGGAGAAGCGGGAGAAAAAAGGGACGAACAAACCCTAAGGTAGTCTCAGATTCGTCGCAAAAGTGACAGTCTTTTTAAATCAGCTATTCGAAATGGACATCAGCGCTATCGTAGTCGTATAGGATTGAACGTAGAATCGAAGGGTTTCCAGATCGAATACAGGTGTGATGTTTTTGATCTTTGCCTAGCGACAAGAAGTACTACTTCGTGTCATACTACAGCATAATGTAAATTGTAAGTTCTACAAATTTACCGTATTACGGTGGGTGTACTCATAAATACACCAGTTATAACACCCCCCTGATTTTTTGAAATTTTCAGTACACCCCTCATTTATCTGAATGTGAATCGCGAGAGAATTTTTAACGAGTTTCTCTATCGGGAGGGACGCGTCACCCCTGAAATGTTATCGCGCAAGGCTGAGGGACTGCCTTCGATCGATTCAGGCGCGTGTGAGCAGCTTGCCAGTGAGTCAGCATGACGTGGCTCGCACTTTACGCGCAGCTCAACCCATTCTCAGCTCGACTCGATAAACAAATTAAGTTTAGTACAGAAAACATGTGTTTCTTCACATGAAATAATGCCATTATATAACACCCATAGGTGCAGGCTTACACCCCCCCCATAATTAAACACCCCCCTAAAGGTGGGTATTTATCAGTACACCCTAGGGTGTACTATGCGGGGGACTACGGTATGTAATTATGCAAAACGCTTCGCAACCCTAAGACGATTTCGTCGCCTCTTGTTTTTTTTTTTTTTTTTCAGTAAACAGATTCTGCACGGCTCTCTCGATTCCTGAATGACCGAACGTAAAAGCGATGCGTTTTTTAACAGGTCCAGTAATTTGCCCCTTACAATGCTTCCCCACGGCTCTTGGGATGCATTGCCAAAACAAGCCTTCGAGATCCAAGCCTTGTTTCTGTTCTGCTTGTGAGCGGGGAGTCCTACCATGCCGTCTGTCCAATGCCGTTTCTGCACATTGACGTTTTCTTCCAATGGCGCTGCTTATGATCACGAGGAGTCGGCTCATTATCCCCAATATACATGTCCCTTGTGCGATAGGGGCTTCGACTCAGTCGCAGGGCTTAGACATCACCAGACAGTCAAACACCCGATAGGAGTTTCATGTAGATTTTGTCATTTTCGCTTCGATTCTGTTCAGTCCGCCATTGCTCATGAGCTGGACCAACACAAATTCTACGTTTCCTGCAGGTTGTGCTCTCAGCGCTTCCAGTCGATAGAGGAGGCCGCGGCTCATGAGCTAAGGTCGCACGGCTTCTTAGCGACTTGCCGGTTCTGTAACCAGTCATTCAGTTCGGAGGAAGCTGTACGCCAGCACGAGGCGAGCGTTCATCAGCCAACGGTGAAGTGCGAATTATGTGGCTTGTTTTTTAATGACCAGGAAGCAGCATGGGATCACGCCGACGACTCACACTCCAGGGATTATCGCTGTGTGTTTTGCGAGAGAGTTTTCGGGAGTGAGCATGCTTTGTCCCAGCACGAGGACGCCAAGCATCCCAGTGGGCAGATAGTGTTCTCAGGAAGGTACTACTAAACATATGGTCGAGCCTTCATGGATGCAATGCCGTGTAACTATTTTGTTGTCTCATTACCAGCGTCAAAGCGAATTCTCTACATTCACGATGCTTATGAAAGTGCAGCCAAAATAAGGAGCACACTTTTTGTGTATGGGTTGTTATTAACAACAATGACGAGTAAGCCTCAAGGACTGTTTTTTGCGAGTGTACTCTGTTAACGATCCCGTTGTTATGTACCATTGATTTTCCCTTCCAACAGTTTCCGTTCCCCTTGGTGTTGCATTCACGGCGTCGCGCCCCAATTTCTATGAATTCGTCACTCATCCTTCGTCATCCCAATGGTTCTGATGGCGCATACAGCACCAGCCGCCGGCACACCCCTCCCACGCCACGCCCTATTTCAGGAAAACTGACCTGAGGAGTTCGTGGTGCTAGCAACATCATCCGGATTCTAAGCAGCATCCGGATTTTCACCTCTTCAACTTGAATTCCTTGTATCTCTAACAATATGCCGGTTGTTGAATGTCGATACTGCACTGACTCCTTTGATTCGGAGGACCAAGCGCGGGAGCATGAAGAGGAGGAGCACTGGCCCACGTATCCTTGCCTGATATGCGACCGTGGATTTGACTCTGTTCAGGGCCTTCGAGACCACAGGAATAAGAAGCATCCTCATCTTTATTCCTGTCGGATATGCAACAAGTCGTTCGCATCCACTCGAGCAGTGATGGATCATGAACGGATGGTCCACACTCGCAAGTTTCCCTGTCGGATCTGCGACGAGACGTTTGATTCCGTCGAGGACGCTGCGACACACGAGCATGACTCTCACCCGATTTATGTGAAGTGCAGGCTATGCGACCAAGAATTTGTTACTCCAAAAGCCGCTGGACAGCACGAGCAGGACAAGCACACTCCTCTCTTGTCGTGTGAGATCTGCGGAGATCGCTTCTACAATAAGGATCAACTCTTCGATCATGAAGATAAAGTACATCCGTTCACCTTCAGCTGCGACGTGTGTGACCGTACATTCAAAACTAACCACTCCTGCTTGCAGCACATGGAAGCAAAGCATTATTGGGAGAGCGAGTATTGAATATGGAGTCCTGGCTTTCCTGCAGCATCACAGCCATGGGAGATGCTGTGCACATGAATATCCAATACTGCTTTTGTTTTTTTTTCTTCAGGAATCCAGCGTTTTGAACACACATGGGGCTATCGTTTATTACATCATACATACTGATTACAATAAGATGACACATTTTGTATGAGAGCCGCCTGCTGTGCTGTAGGGAATGACATTCCCCAATGATCAAAAGTCGAGCCTGATGGTGCAGGCCACACATCATCAGTTGCACCACTGGCCAGCACATTCTCAAAAACAGGTGCAAGCGCTCTGGTGGGATCCTGTGGTTGGATGTTGACCTGCTGTAGGTGTATGCCAGTGCAGGGCACTGTGTCACTGCAGCGCATGAAGATACCAAACTTATCGCGGACGAGTGCTGATACGTTCCGGTACCAGATATTGTGCAGAGCAACGTTGTTCTCACTGCCACCACACGTCCAATTCTGGTGCCTGTCACAGTAGAACTGCACAGGAGAAAAGGGTTGGAGATATGATTCACCATTTTAAGAGACGGTTGGAAAGCATAATGGTCTCAGCTGAGCTCACACACCTGATTCAGCATGATGGCCTTGCTGGTGTTCTTCATGTGGATGTTCTCGTAGAAGACATCTCGGACAACCCCAAGACCCCCTTGCCATGTTTTGATGCGAATGCCATTGGTCAGGTTGATGAGTGTCACGTTTACCACCCGCACCTTCGCCACACACCCCACATTGCCGTCCCATCCAACACTCCCGATGCTGCAGCAGAAGACAGCACGAGTGAGGAAGGCTTGAGAATACAACAGAGTGGTGGGATGGACAATAAATCTGGAACAATGCAAACAAGATATGCTGATCTGGTGGCGTTATTCCAGGTGCATCAGAGTCTGACCTTATTCCGTGCCCTGCAGTTGCTTCCAGGTTCCTCACAGTGATGTTATACGCCACCAGCTCCCCCACTGCTACTACTGACACATCATCATCACCTGCATACACACCCATAGGACAACATCGACAACATCAGCTATCATGACTCAAGCAACAGCAGCTACCACTGACAAGAGACAGCAGCTATCATTTGCACATACGAATGCTGCTGACCTCCATGCAGAAAGCACTCCTCAATGAGAGCGTTCTTGATGCCAACAAGCTTGAGGCTGTCAGTGTTGGGACTCCTGCTGGGCGAGTTGGTCTTGTAGCGCCGTATGTGCAGCCCATCGCACGTGTACGCAAAGAGGTGATACATGGGAGAGTTCCTGCAATCATGCAAAGTGGATGAAAAGCCCTTTGTTTCCACTCCAGTACACTTCACTCCGCCCTGTTCCTTCTGACCAGACGGACTCAATTTTACCAAAACCAGTAACCCAGCTTCACTGCAACGAACAACCGCAGACACACCAGATGGAGATCCCTTCCACCGTCGTGTTCTTGCAGTGCATCAGCCGGATTGCAAACGGCCTGATCGGAATGGTCTTCTGCAGAGTGTAGTTCCTGAATGCTTTCCAGAACTCCTGCCCCTGCCCATCGATTCTGCCCCCGCCCGAGATCACGAGGCCAGAGAAGTTTTTGAAGGAGAGGAAGCCGCTGGTGTAGGGGAAGTAGGTGCTGGTGTAGTCGGGAAAAGGGTACGCTGTAGGGTCCGATGGACCTACCAGGACCCCGTCAATCTGAAGGGCATGGAAAGGTGGGGGGTGGGGAGGGAGAGCGGGGGTTGTAGGAAGGAGGGCTTAATTGGGGAGAATGAGAGGACAGCGTTGAGGTGGAGGAGTGCATTGAGGTGAGAGTGTGCAGTGCATCGGGAAATGGAGGAGCCAAGGGGAAAACATGGTAAGGGCGGCTATGCAAGTTGTCGCCTTCCCACCTTCCCTAACATTGCTGGTTTGAAACATCTTTACCTGCAATCGCATGCCAGGTCCACATGGCCCCTGCATGGTGATGGGCTGCACGGAATAACAACCACCCCACGGCACCAGCACCGTCGCCACCACCCCCTTCTCCGCCGCATGGCTGCACGCTGCATGCATGGCCGTGGTCAGCGCATGTGTATCGTCCGTGACTGCATCCCCCACCGCCCCATACGCCACCACGTCAAAGACGCCTGCGAGGGGTTGGGATCTCCACCGCCCCTGCTGCTGCTGCTGCTGGTTGTGCAGCTGCTGCTGCTGCTGCGCGGTGATTGGGCGCGAGCGCCAGTGGGGCTTCTGGAAGGAGGAGGAGAAGGCGGAGAGGAAGGGGAAGGGGGCGTCTGTGGACTGGCTGCTGTCAAGAACGAGGAAGGTGAGAGCTGGGACGTGGGGTGGGGGGATGGTGGGGCAATGGGTGGTGGTGGGGGATAGTTTTTTAGTGGACTTCCTCTGTGACTGGCTGCTGTCGAGGACGAGGAAGGTGAGAGCTGGGACGTGGAGGGGAGATGCGGGGAGGGAGTAGCGGATCAGTCAGAACGGGAAAAGGGAAGGAAGGCAGTAATGTATGCGGGAGACGCGGGCGGGGAAGACGGAAAATGGCAATGCGAAGCTGCCAGTAGCCGGTGGATAGAGCCCGTGGTGCCTAGCTTGGATAGAGGCAGTGGCGCGTACGTACCTTGGACTGTGTTGGACTGGCGGGACTTGGAGTGAAATAGCCTCTCCACGTACACGCCCTGCCATGGGGCCGCGGGGCACGCGGGTGAGACGGGTAAACGCGGGGGACGCGAAGGATGCGGGGGACGGGGGGAACGCAAGGGATGCGGGGGAAGAAAGGAAGCGGGGAAGCAGGAAAGGTGGAGACGAGGCACGTCCATACCAGGAGGACGGCAGCAAAGAGCATACATGACGAGAGGACGTGCGACAGCAGGTACTGTTGAAGTCGCACGGAAGTGCGAGGGGAGGTATTGTGGAGGTAGTACGGAGATGACATGGACGGACGCAGTACGAGCATACGTCGATAAGTGACTATTGAGATACCTCGAAAGGTGTCTAAAAAGCACACGGAATTAGGTTTTGATTAGAGAGACCAAATTTGGTAAGGGCGATAGCTGACAGAATAGAGACCTCGTCGATTTGAAGGAGTGGCACCTGCAGAAGGAATGTGAGCGACACGGCGACTACTATCAGCGATACTGCGAGCAACCTCAAGCATCGCACGGAAACCACCGGGCGAAAGGAGTGATGTGACATCGTGCGATCGGCGCTCTCCAGCTGATGTCAGTCCATGTCAGAGCTATTTCTGACAGCAACGAGTGATGTAAGCTCAATTTGCCTCCAGAGTTCTGACAGAGTGAGATTCAAAATTTACCGGTTACCAAGTGCAAGGGTGTGGCGAGTATGCGACGAACATCTGGCTTGAGATAACGAAATGGACAGTCACGATTCGTGCACGAGTTGAATGCGATAAGTCAGCGAGCACAACCCGTGACTTATGGATCTGCTACCCTGTTCTCTTGGATCTGCTGCCAGTTCACAGCCTGCAGCCACCCTCATTATTACCGGTTCTACATCTACAACATTTCCAATGCTTAAATTTTCAGGTCTCACTCTTTCTAGGATATTGACGAAGAGCTCAGCATCAAGGATATCAGAGTTGTCCATTTCGAACCTTCCTATTCGCACTCTTCCGCTTCCAATTCCAATCAAATTTCAGCGTCCTCGTCATCCCTGTTCCTCCGATCACGTGCTGAACCTCCTGACAGCAAACGAAAAGGTCGTTCATACTGGTAACCCCATCCCGCTTCGCGCAACCACCAACCAACCCTTTTCAGCTTGCCCCTCAACAAGCTAAGTTGACCTGTTTCTTCTCCAGATAGACTGATTTATTCAGCCTCACTTTCAGGGGCAAATAAGAGCCTCCCGGCGCCGCTGCTGTGCCTCCCATTGCGGTGAAAGTGAAGCCAATAATAACGACGATGAGGAAATTAGATGGGATTCTCGCGTGCGGTGCTCTATTTCTGGGCCTCCACGCGCTGATCGCTTCCGCTCGCGATGTGATCGACTTGACTCCGGATAACTGGGAACTAGACGTGGGTCAGGATTTCTACATCTTCGTCAAGTTTTACACTCCATGGTAGGGCTGTATTCTTCGCCCGTTTAATGTCCTACTTTCAAAGCAGTATCTTGTTTCTAATTTATCGTGCCGGTGCGACCATAGGCGTATTAGTCGCCTCATGTCGTCCCAAGCTTTCCGGCCCTTTAAAGGTGTGGTTGACCGTTCTTTTCAATGTAGGTGCGGACACTGCAAGCGACTTGCACCCGAGTGGGAGAGGCTCGCCGCTGCCTTCAGGGCGTCTGTTTACGTTCACATCGCACAGGTAGGTATCCATGCCGTTGCACATCAACACCTCATCATTTCTCCTATCAATGCTCGCTAAGCTTCCGCAATCACTCTATATCACTACGTCGTACAACATTATGCACGGATGCGAATGTGGTTCTCGAATGTTCTTCCCCTCCTCTCCATCCAATCTCCACCGCACCGCAGGTGGACTGCGACGCACACAAGGAGCTCTGCGTTGACTTTGAGTTGACTCAAAAGTCAACTCTCCCATGTTCTCCTCCCTCCTCTCCAATGTCCACGGCAGGTGGACTGCGACGCACACAAGGAGCTCTGCTCCAAGTTCGGCGTCAGCGGCTATCCCACGCTCAAATGGTTCCCTCGCAACTCACTCACGCCCGAAACGTAAGATACACGTGCTTCCTCTCCAGCATTTATCCGTTCAATTAGTATAAAATTCTTGATACACTGGTGTGCATTCGCTCATCTCTCTCCTTTCCCGGCTTCACGCGCAGGTACACTGGCGATCGCGAGGCAGAGAAGCTGCTGGAGTTTGCCAACCAGAAATCAGGTCAGCCATTGAACCAGTTTGTCTTATCTATCTATAGAAGCCGTCCATGCTAACATGGCAGTACCAGCTGATACCGTTTGTTATGGCATAGCATAATACCGGTTTCATTGAACGGAAACCCACCGAAGGGGGCGTTTTTCTCAATCTCCAAACAGACTTAGTTCCTGGCCCAACCCCACCAATCCACCTTTCTAAAGACTCATTCAGGCGTGTTTTGCTGCGTTCTCTGCCTGTGTTGATGCAGGAAGCAGAGCGGCACTGCCAGCAGGGAAGCCGTTATTGGTGGTGGAGGTGACTTTTGAGTCGACTCAAAAGTTACCTCTTGTTTTGCTGCTTTCTTTCTCTGCCTGTGTTGTGTTGATGCAGGAAGCAGAGCGGCACTGCCAGCAGGGAAGCCGTCATTGGTGGTGGAGGTGACGCCTGACAACTTCACAGAGATTGTCAAGGACAAGACCAAGCACGTTCTGCTTGAATTCTACGCCCCATGGTACTTATACTTCTTTCTCTCACGATTTCCTCTGTCCTCCCTTTCCCCCGCTTCTTTTCCCCCTCCCCAACCCCTTCCCGCCCTTCAACTCTCTTCCTCCTCTTGCACACACGGGCTCACACTCACACAGCACAATGTGGCCACACGCTGAAATACCCAACCCAATCCCTCTCCCCCATTTCCCCCTCTCTCTGCTGTCCAGTTATCTCTTGGTTCGCAACTCTTGTCCGAATCATCGTGTTGTAACCATTGATCTCTTCCTTCCTCCCTTCCCTCTGTTCTCCTTCGATTCAGGTGTGGAATGTGCAAATCCCTTGCTCCGGTAAGCCTTCATCATCCCCACCTCCTCATGTTGCAATGATTACTAACCAAAGATGCATCATGTGACCTGTCCTATCTCTACCATTTCTCTGTCCTCTAAAAAGAAGCTCACATTATAACGCTCCTCAACTTCCATCCTCGTTTGGAAACCCCCTTCCGCCTTGTTTCACCGATTCACCCGCTTCCTCCACCACTCTGTCCCACCTGCCCCTTCACAAAGCCACCATCCTCCCCTCCCATGCATGCTCCACTCCAGTGGCTTCCTTCCTCAAACCACCTTGCCCCTTCCGATTCCCCCCTGCACTACACTCTCGTTTCGTCTGTGCAGGACTACGAGGCACTGGCAGAGGCGTTTCAGTACGAGCCGGACATTGTGATCGCCAAGTTTGATGCCGACAAGTACAAGGGCACCGTGGAGAAGTGAGTGCGAGAGAGGGTAGGTAGGTAGGTGTGTTTCAAGTCGACTCAAAACACTCATCAAGTCGCCTCAAGACACACTATGAGTCGACTCAAAACACACCAGGACTACTGAAGCACTGGCAGAGATGTTACACTCCAGTACGAGCTGGACATTGTGATCACCAAGTTCGATGCCGACAAGTACAAGGGCACCGTGGAGAAGTATGTGCGAGAGAGAGAGCACCCCCTTTCCGGCTCGACTCGACCTGCCCTGCCAAGCTCTTATTCACTCCATTGCACTCCCTGACCTGACCCTTTCAGGGTGACAGGGTATACACACCCATGCTCTGTGTCCAGCTGGCCGGTTCGCCACCCTGCACTCGGTTCTTGCACCACTCTGCTAGTCCCTCTCATTCACTTACACGGAATCAATCCACAACAGATTCCTGCACACCCAGCTTCAATGCCAGTCAGAGCATGACAACCCCACGGTCATGCCCAACTGTAGCCACATGACGTGACAGTGGTTTGTTGTTTTCCTCCTCGGTTTCCCCATCCCTGCCAGGTACACGATCAAGGGGTACCCTGAGCCACGGTGGTACCCCAAGGAAGGACAGCAAGAAGGGTTCTTCAATAAACTCATTAAGCGCCTCATTGCTTGCAGTTCTTATGTAGTAATTGCATGCCTGTTTGTGTGCTTCCATGCCATCCAGGTACAAGATCAAGAGGTACCCGGAGCTGCGCTGGTTCCCAAGGAGGACAACAAGAAGGGTCCTTCAGTCCACTCATAAAGCTTCTCATTGCTTGCCGTTGGTTGATTTTATCCTTAGTTTGTGTGATTCCATCCCTGCCAGGTACAAGATCAAGGGGTACCCGGAGCTGCGGTGGTATCCCAAGGAGGACAAGCGGGTCGACTTAATCGGCTTATTTACGCCTTGTTTCTGTGTTGGGTTATTGGTTCCCATCCCCGCCAGGTACAAGATCAAGGGGTACCCGGAGCTGCGCTGGTATCCCAAGAACAACAAGAGGGGCGAGCCATACCAGACGTCGCGCAACCTGCAGCCTCTGATCGACTTTGTCAACGCCAAGGCCAACACCTTGCGCAAGAAGGGCGGCCTCCTGGATGACGATGTATGTATGCTCGCCATGTGCTGGACTGTTGAGTTGAGGCGCCTCAGGAGCAACCTGCAGTGCAGCCTCTGATGGACTTGGTCAACGCCAAGGCCAACACCTTGCGCAAGAAGGGCGGCCTCCCGGATGACGATGTACGTATGCTCGCCGGGCGGGCGGTTTGACTTTTGAGTCCGCTCAACAGACGTTCACTTTGCCAACGCCATGGCCAACAGAATGTGCTGTGCTATAAGGGTAGCCTCCTTGATGTATGAATGCTCGCAGTGCTCTTTGACGGGCAGAACAGAGAGCAAAAAGCTATGCCTTCTCTTGAAGAAGCTATGCCTTCTCCCAAAGAAGGTACACTCTATCCCCTACTCTCCTTGGTTGCTCTGCATTGCGTGCTGGATGCATGCAGGTGGGGCGCATCAAGGATCTGGTCAAGACTCAAGATAGCAGTGCAGTACGCCCTGGCATCAAAGGAGCAGAAGAAGGAGCTATGATTCATCCCTTACTCTCCTCTGTTCCTCTGCGCTCGTTGCTGCCTGGTTCTCTCCCGGGTGCTGCGTGCATGCAGGTGGGGCGAATCAAGGACTTGGACAAGATAGCTGTGAAGTACGCCCTGGCATCACGGGAACAGAGGGAGAAGCTATGCCGTATCCCTGACTCTGCTTGGTTGCTCAATGCTGCCCTGCTGCGTGATTGCTGCATGGTGCTGCCTGCTTGCTGCATGCATGCAGGTGGGGCGGATCAAGGACCTGGACAAGATAGCTGTGAAGTACGCCCTGGCATCTAAGGAGCAGCGGGTGCAGCTGAGGACGCAGATGAGCAACACCATCGACTTTCTTGACGCTAAGAAGGACCCGTGCGTGCCCCTTGTGGTTGTGCCCCCCTGAGTGTTTGGTGTTGACTTCAAACGCGTGAGACTGTATCCAGGTGTGTTGTGAGTCGACTCAGAACACACGTTTGAGTCGACTCAAAGCCCAGCAGAGGGTACAGCTGAGGGCGCAGATGAGCAACACCATCGACTTTCTCGACGCCAAGAAAGACCCGTGCGTGCCCCCTGTGGCCTTCTGAGTGTTTTGTGTTGACTTCAAACCCGTGACATTATATCCAGGTGTGTTTTGAGTCGACTCAAAGGACAGCAGAGGAAGGAGCATAAGGACCCGTGCGTGCCCCTTGTGGCTGTGGGCCCCTCAACTCGCCTTAACACATCGCCCTGATGTCTCGAAACACGATTGCCCTGTTCTCTGGTTGTGATGTCTCGAAACACGATTGCCCTGTTCTCTGGTTGTGATGTCTCGAAACATGATTGCCAGTCAGTCCATCCATCTTGTGTGTACCTCCCTTTCGGCACCTCCCGTCCCACTCCGCCTGCTCCCTTCCTACCTGTCGTCTACTTCTTGGGGTGTGACGTCTGATTTTGCTCTGACTTGATGCCTGCCACCTGCCTCCCACCTTGCCCGCCAACAGCTTCGCGCAGATATACATGAAGATCATCGACCACATTGACAGCAACGAGAGATACCTGGCAGACGAGTATGCCAGAGTCGAAAGGATGCTCAAAACGGTAAGCCATTCCTCGTTCACTGCAACCTTTGTCCCCTCACTCCGTTTCTCTTTTTGTTTTGTTTTTGTTTTCTGTATTTATTACTTTGGCTGCACGTTCTGCTGACCTCCACCAGTAGTGCCTGCGGTTTCCCTCACTGTCCCTCCCTCTCCTTTCCCCACTCCTCTCTCCCCCCCCCCTACCCACAGCCTGTAGACCACTTCACGGTGCGCAAGCACATTCTCACGGCCTTCCAATCTAGAATGCTGTTCCTCTTTGTCCTTCCCTCTCCCCATCCTCCCGCCCCCCCCCCCCCCATCCCTGCAGCCGCTCGCCCCAGCCAAGATAGACCAGTTCACGGTGCGCAAGCACATCCTCACGGCCTTCCTTGAGTTTGACGAGGAGGAGGTGGCCATCTCCTGAGCACACACAGGGATCAGGGAATGCAGGCAGGGTGCGAAACACGGTGCTAGGAAAAACAGCTTCCATTGTCGTGCTTGTGGCCATAGGAGAGGGTGGAAGGGGTGCCAGTCCAGTGCCAACCACAAAAGACCTGCTCTGTTTTTCTGATGGCTGGGTGGTAGGGCAATTCCTAATCAAAAGTCTGGTGATCAAAGTACTGTCGTTATTTAACCCCCTTGATGCTGCATGGGAAGTCATGGTTCTGCAATAATGCTGAAATTTACACTGCATGTTGCAGATGGCATCCTGGTAACCTGAGGCTTGTAGCCTACGTGGCATACTCGCTGGACTTCAACGGCAGCCGACCAAGCCTGCACTGCATTAATCTTGAAAGATGAATCAGCTTACACTCAGGATGGCACACATACACACATCATGTACATCACATCAAGTGACAGGTTTCGCGAGGTTCTTGTGGCCGGAGCCAATACAAGAGAGAAACACTGTGCCGGTGCTCTCATCAGGGCGGATGTCAAACTGCACGCCCAGCATGGCCCTCATGTCCCTCAGTGCGTCCACTGTGTGTGGCGCTAGTGGCCCCACCCGCACCCGACACAACTCCTCCGGACACAGCGCACACAGCAGCAGCACAAAGGCCTGTGGGAGGGGAATGAGGGGGAGAGAGGCAGGCGGGAAAGAGGTGATGTGAGGGCTGGCAAGGGTCCACTGCCCCACTCGCACCCAACACAGCTCCTCCTGACGTGTGCACAAAGGAACAAGAGAACGACATGTGGAGGAGGAAGCAGGGGAGGTGGGATTGATTGGGGAGGGGGAAGGAAGGGGCATGTGAATGTATGGCACGATATGAGGCACATCTGCCATGGGTCAGGCTGATGGCTGGAAAACACTGCCAGCATCCCACCATGGGTCCTGCCCCATGCACAGCACAGTGTTGCCATGCTAGTCCGGCCATGAACAGTGCTCCTTGTGACCGTTTGAAAGGCCTAGCGACAAGGAGGGAGCAGTGACCGTGGATGGGATGTTGATGTGGGGCGTGCCGCCATGCTGCCATGCTACCATGCTGCCATACCACCATATGATGCATGTATACACAGCATTTCAAGACGACATGCAGGCATGCATGCGTGCCCTGGCATGGCTGAATCAGCAGCAGCAGGCCCGTCTTTATCACCGCATGCAGCTCCCACTGTTTCCTGCCAACCTCAATCCTCACCCTCATTCTCCATTCCAAAATCCTCAACCCTCAACCGCTACTTACTGCAACAACCTCGCTTCCCTCGTATCTCCCCTCCAATTTTACCCTCTTCCCCTCCTTCCGATCGCTCACCTGTTGACTGCCGTCCACCACGCCTCCCTGCTTCACTTCATGCAGCAACAGCTGTGCGGCCTGCAACCCTAGATCTTCAGGCACCTCCTCCCCCTGCCCCCCTGCTCCTCCTCTCCCCCCTCTCCCTGCGCCTCCCCCCACCCCTTCATGTTCCCCCCGGCAGCTGGCAATGGCCCTCTCGGCACTCAGCAGGCAGCCGGACGTTGTTTCGGCGACCAAGGATATGCCAAAGCCAGGCGACCTGAGGCGTTGAGGGGCAAAGGGGACGGATGGGGACGGAGAGTTGAGGTGAGACGAGGCGGGGTTGTCAGAATGATGGAGCCCATGGGATGGTGGGACGGGTGAGTATGGTGGTTGAGAGAGGGTCACCATTTAAACAGCATTGGGGGCAGAACAGAGGTAACGTGCATTTCAAAGTAAGTCTTCTCAACCTGAATCAGCCTTGTCACCACAGCACACAAAAAGAAAAAAAGAAAAACAGCCAACCAACTAATTTACCTGCCCGAGTCTGCTCCCGAGAAGTGGTCAGTGAAGATGAAGACATCAGGCAGCAGGCGGTTGAGCACCCCTCTAGCCTTCCCTTCCCCCCCTCCCCAAACGAGAGAGAGAGAGACAACCAACCTGCCAGAGTCTGCTCCCGAGAAATGGTCAGTGAAGATGAAGACGTCGGGCAGCAGGCGGTTGAGCACCCCTCTAGCCGCGTCCACCATGCGATTCGCCACCTGCGGCGCCACCCTCGCTGTGAACGCCACCCCCCTCACCCTCTTCACCAGCCCCTCGTCCTCCCACACCACTGGCTGCCACGTTGGGGAAAACGGGGGAACGGCAGAGAGGAGAATAGAGAGAGAAACGTGTTGAGTAATCCACTCTCAACCCTCCCCATAGATTACCGACTTCAGATATCGCCCTCCCCATCCACCCCTCCCTCCCCTTGTCCTCCGCCCCTAGCCCCTTCCACCGCACCTCCAGCTGCTTCACGATTGGCAGGCGCAGCATCACCTCCCCTCCGCCCAGGGGAGGCGCGCCGCGGCGAACGAGCTTGAGCTCGACTTCCGCCATGTCCACGCCGAACCGCTTCAGGATGGGCAGCGTCGCCGTGCGCAGGGTGTCTATGCTCGGATCGCGGTCGTCGTTCGTCACCCCTGCGGGTGGTCGCGGGTGGGCGCGGGAAGGTATGGTTGGAGGTTGGGGAATGGGGGATGGGGAAGGGAAAGTGGGGGAACGTGGCGGGTGCTGCTGGTTAAGCTTGGGAAAGGGCAACGGAGAGAGTGAGAGAGGATGGATATAATACAAGGACCGTTCGAGAGAGGGGGAGAGGGTGGTGGTCCTTGACGGGCAGGGAAGAGACGGATGCTGTAAGGGACCGAGATGACGATGCGGAAAACAAATCTGGTCTGCCGACAGGCACCGCAATGCACCGCACCACACCACAGTGGACCAGGGGGGGCTCAGGCATCCTGTCGGTGTCTCACCTTTTAGTGTAATGTGGAGGGGTTTTTTTCCAAATAGCCCGAGCACGAAGAGGGGTTGCAGGAAGTAACCTATGGCGCGCGACGTGCCGCAGTCATGCGTCAGGTTCCGCCCGCCGGACAGCACGCCGGGGCGGTACCTCAATTTTGTTCCTGTAACGAGCGGAGGACGCAACACACGAGGTTGGGTGGAACACGCGTGGGTGGTATCCCAACATTGTTCCTATAACGAGCGGAAGTCACAACACCCAGTTGCCACACGACGATTGGGGCATCCAGCGCAGGAGATAGTGAGCACGCGACCGGCTGGGAATGCCAGTCGGTCCTACGAGAGAAGCAAAGGGCACGCGAAACCCACGGGTAAATCCCTGTGAGGCCGAAATAACATCCTCCAGCCACTAAACCTCGAAAGCAAACCCTAGACCCTAACTCCTAAGCCTCATATGCCGCGAGCTGACCTGTTTCGTTGATTTCCACAACACAGCCGTTGGAGATCTTTTCGAGCAGTCTCAGCAGCGACGCTTCGTACTCCGTTAAGCCGGGGCTCTCTGCCTCTGCGCGGATGTCGTCTATTCTAATAGCGCGTCCTGATAATGTCGCGTACACCAGACGCTGCCGGAGATTACGCGACCCTCTAAGACGTATCACCATTTCGTCACAGTGAATTAACGGCTTTGTTACGGTGGGTTTGCCGGCTGTGCCTCGTAGTAGTCTGAGTTGAGGTGCGAACAAGAAGGCACGAGGTAATCGAGTAATCACCTGGAATATGGGGTATGGCAGAATTCTGTCCCTAAGGGCCAGTTTGTACGCGTCAAAGGGAGTCGCATCGAAATGAACATCAGAGTGACAGTTTTCATTGGCCGTAAAATGCTACAAGTCTTACATACTGGTAACACTCGCATTCGCCCCAATTTGAAATGTGGTGTTATAACGCGGATGACTGGTACCTGGAGTTTGAATTCCCAAATTGTGGACCCCCCATCTCCCCAATTCCAGAAGAGCATCGCGACTATCGATGACCCATTTTTCTCCGCCTCGGTTCGCTCTATTTGCTTCCTCTGCTCTACGCCCTTGGGTTCTCCTTTCTCTTCCCGCAAGCCCGTTTCCCCCGCGCTGCTCGCTTGTACTTCCAGGTTCCAACCCTTCATTCGTTTCCCGCGCTTTTCTCGATCTCCTCGACCGGCTCACCCCGCTGCCTGTTAGTGCTGAAACGCGCGTAGACTAGAGAGTACAGTTCAAACTGACGTTCAGCTCGCCTCGCCGGACATCCAACCACCCTGCCACCTTGATTTTGCCTTACCTCCCGCGTAGCGTGAACCGTCGTCTGCCCTTGGTCTCACAGTCTGGTCGTAGCTCACCAGATCACCCGGTGGTTACCATTAGAAATTACGTGCGTTTCTTGCGTTCGCGTGTAGGCTAGACACCAGGGCATGGGCGGTAGGAGAGCGAGCGTTCACGTGGTTTGATTCGCTGACCGCCGTTCCTTTCCTGATGACATGAGCAACTATTATGATTTAGACGACATACTGGCCGAGGATGAGGTGCGTTAGCCTACTTTTACGCTGTTTTACGCCGTAACAAGCCTTCATAGTTTTTCCCGCTTCCACGTTGGTAGTTGTCTGGCCTCCTCATCGTCATATTGGTGGCGTGCCTTTCGCAGAAACTTCCCGTTACGTTTCGGACCGGAGCGACGGGAGTGGGACGAGCTCTAGACCCGAGCACAGACGCCGATGACGTAAGCATATGCTCCTATGACATCAGCGTAAAACGCTAACGACATTCGCGAAGCTGCTGAGAACTCATGCCATGAAGTCGCGCGCCTCTGTCTTGCGAGAATGTTGGCAAAAGTGCTTTCCAGGCTCAAGTCGCATTGCTACCATGCTCACGGGCTCTCCTTCTCCTTTGCTTTCCTGCCACTTGACCTCGTATGCTGCCACGTGTCATCCATGCGTGTTTCCGCCAGCTGGCAGTGGGCGCCAAGGTGGACTTGCCGGTGTGGATGGTGCCGGCGCTAGCGAAGCGAAACATGGTGTCGGCCTTGGAGCCCAGGATGTTCGGCGAGAGGTGAGCACCAAGCAGCCAACGGTATAGGTTTTGCTTCGGCAATGGGCAAGCAAAGAGCAGCAGCAAGCGGTAAGCTTTCCCTTTGCCTGTTGGTAAGGATGAAGCAGCCAGAATCAGCCTTTGCTTCAAAGCATGTGTGTCAGCGACTGGTGAGGCAGCAGCAGGGCGCCGCAGCCGTACTTTCAGCTGTAAATGAGGCAGCATCTAGCCATGTGAATCAATGTCTAGTCGACAGCAGGGAGAGCAGCAAACGTTGTGAGCCTACAGGCGGGAGTGCAAGCATTGCCGGCCTGGGTCCGAGTTGTTAAAGTGGCATGGCACAGCCAACAAAAGGGCACGCGTGCTTTTCATTCTTCAGAATGTTCCAACTATTCTCTCCAAAACTAAATTACGTTTTCCATATGATTTTGCCATTTTCTTTGTCAATGAGATGCAGTCGGCAATTCATGCCGTATCTTCTTCTGGTTGCTTCCTCGCTGTGTCACCTCTTGGTTCCCAACAGGATTCGGAAGGAGTTGCAAGCAGACGCTGCGTGTGTCAATCTCCGTGCCTGTTCGCCCTACTACTATTCCTTGGGCACCAAGATTGCTCCTTGGTACATTATCCCTGGCCGCATGATTCCTGATCGTTGCCTCCATGGCGGGTGGTCACTCCATGAGCACTTCATCAATAGCTCTTCCTTCGCATTAGCTCCATTGTCACTCTTTCGTAGAAGCCTCCGAGCACCTGTTTACTGAGTTCACCTCCCAATGTTTTTCCCAGCTCACACTCATTTTCACCCCAACGCCCCACTCCCCTGGCCCTGCTGTGCAACCCCCCTCCTCGCTCTGCCTGTCAAACAGGGTGCGGGACAAGACGCTCACGCGCTTCCTGTTCACCACCTTTGTGGAGCGCTACGCTGACCTGCTCACACGCGCGTTTGTGCTCCCAGAGAAAGAGGTGCCTCGCGTGCGCCGCCTGCTGCCCAAGGAAGAGCAGCAATGTGCGTGAGCGGTACCGGGAAAGGGAATGAGCAGGGGAAAGGGGATGAACAAAGGGGGGGGATACAGGAGCAATGGATGCAGGGATTCCACTGGGATACTTTTGTGTTTTCCTGGTCCATAAGCAGTCTGGGTTGTTGGAAGGATGTCAAACTCTGTGTGTCTTGCCTCCTTTTCCGGGTGTTTCCAGTGCTGTCTGCAGGGTATGCAGCCATGCGCAGGTACACAGCATGGCAGGAGCAGAGCTGTAACTGTCTGCTGGTCTCTCCCATTCTTGGGCGCAGCCTCTCTCGCAAGCGTGCCAGGCTGCCATTTGCTGATGTGAGCAACAACAATGGCAACACTAGTGCCAGCACTGATGGTGGAGAACGAGAGAAGGGTGCAGGATGGGGAGGTGGAAGCACATCAAGCAGTGGCTGGGGTGCTGGTTCTGTAGGAGACGGGTATGATGGGCGACCTGGTGGGAACCAGAGACAACGGAGGTGATGACAAAGGATCATATATTTGCGTATTAGACGGAGTTGATATGGTTTTCTTTTTCCGGTTTGGTTTTTCCTTTTTGATATGCAGTTCATGTTATTATCGTCACATAATCAAATTATTGTGCTGTACAGCTGATGTATATCACTTGTTGCGTCAGTGCTATGACCTGGGCCCTGTTCGGTAGCCTTCCAGTCACACTGGGCCCACTCGAACTGGGGAAGCTTACGACATGTTTCGTAGCCTCGGGCGTCCACTCACACTGAAAGGAAGTCTCGTCCAAAAATGCAAAAAGTTACCGTGTGTTTCTCGATAAATTACTGGTCGAAACTTTTACTGAAGCACGAGGCTGCCCAGCTCACAAACAAAAAACAGCCAGCCAAATGGAAAACCCTCAATATGGATAAAAGAAAATCACGAACGGCTACGAACGTAAAAAACCCAGACCGAGCGGGCCTGCCTGAGTGGAGCTTTCACAGACGGTCGAGCTTGCCTGAGCAAGCAATTTCGTGGTAAACTTCACTCGGGCTGGGTTTTTTACGCGTTCGCTAGTCAAGTCGCACTGGGCAGGTATGGTGTTCTAATAACGATTCGATTGGTTTTAAGGTGAGTCGAAATTGGGCAGAGGAAGATCACCTGCACCAACTACAGTGAATGGGGGGGCTACCAAACAGGGCCCTGAAGTGGAGTCGTAAGCTTGAAGTCGCAACGAAGGAGTGCTGGAATATGTCCACCGCGTTACCACCGGCAGAGGTGGAGTTCGCAGCTGAAGCCACGTTAGGGGTTCCACCGTTTCACCCTTGATGACGACGGCCAAGGGCTTGCAGGTATCAGCCTGCTTATCCTCGCGAGCCAATCCGAATGTAGAAACGCCTCTTCGCAACCTATGACCACGTGCATAGAGTTTCGTTGAAGCCACAGCCCAAACGCGGCTGTCTCCTTGCGAAATTTCCGCGTCGCCAGCCGTCGGACAAGTCTGCCAAATTCAAGGCCCGCCCTCTGTTCCTCGGGAACTCCGTGTGCTTGGGCTGGATGAAGCTCGCAGTCACCTGCCTCCCTGACTAGCTGCCTTCCCTCCCTTCCTACCGCACCCACACCCACTCCAGTCTTGGGAATCTCTCCGTCTGCCTATCAGCAACACTGACATACCCAGACCTTTAGGATATGCCGTCACCATTCCCGAGTTCCTGTTGTGCTGCTGCCTTCGCCTCGCTGTCCTGTGCTGTCTAGTACATAAGATGTTGTGTATTGCTGGCGGAGAAACGACCGGTGTTGACAATGGATACCCTTTCACCCAGCTCCGGCCCTCCTTGCGATGCCTGGACCGTGTCCCAAACCTACTCAAATCACCCATTAGCTGATGTGAATAGCTCCTATGCTTTCTAGCTTACGGGACATTTTTACAATGATATAACTAGCACGTTCGCACTCCTGCACCACAAGCTGACATTTGTAAGAGGACGTTTGCTGACATCGACTGATCAACTGACTGAGAATTGCGATGTACTCTGTATAATACTCTCGTTCGGCGTCCTCAAGCAGTCTCCGTTTCAGTGCATGCAGTCCGAGACTCCAGCAACTTCAGGACTGTTCAGTATTATCTTCAGAGTCCAGGTTCAGACAATCTCATTCGGGCGCATCGTAAGCTAGAAGAACTGTGCAGCTTTAGGCATTGTGTATTGACTCCTGTCGACGCGATCACGGACCCTGTCGCACGTCCGTTTTGAAAACGATGACAGTCGTCAGCAGAATCGCAGGCTCGCGCAGAAACACCCCTGCGACGCTCGTACGAATGCCTGAACTCGTCAGCATGCGACTAACCATCCAATACCATCACTACTATCACGAAGGCCATCACCACCGCCATCACCATCACCAGTGCTATCTCCTCCTCCTCTCCTTATTTCTCCTCCACGCTCTCTTCTCCGCGCCTCCCGCCGCATTTGCCGCGACTCTCACCTCGGATATCGCGGCGCTACAGGGTTTCCTGCAAGAGCCGACCAATCAGGCGAAGCTGAGCGACTGGAAGTCCGGGACGGACCCGTGCGCCACTGGCTGGCTCGGTGTGAAGTGCGCCGCAGCCGTTGGATCAAATCCTGCAGCCGTTGGATCAGGCCCTGGGAGAGGCAGTGGGAACAGCAACGGCAACGGCAGCAGCAACGGAAATAAAAATGGACAGGCCACCACGGGGAAGTTTCAGTATGTAGTGAGATTAGACCTGACCGGGGTTGAGCTAACTGGATCTTTACCCACAACGTTAGGATCACTGTATCAACCTACTGCTATTGTCCTCAGCCGCAACAGCTTCTCAGGCTCGTCCATTCCGAGCCAGCTCGGCCAGTTAACGAGCCTACAGGCGCTTCTGCTCACCAACTGCCAGCTGGTTGGGTCCATACCTGACAGCCTCGGCAGCATGACGAGCCTGACGTACCTCAGCCTCGGGCAGAACCTGCTGGAAGGTCCCGTACCTCCGTTCCTCTTCACTTCTCTACAATCCCTGGCGATTCTTGGCCTGAATAACAATAACCTAGGCGGGGAGATTCCCCCAGAGATTGCCTTAGCGCCTCAGCTGCTGAACCTATCGCTTCACGTGAACAATCTGACGGGAAGCATTCCAAGTACATTGGGCAGCGGAGGTGGGGGGTTGCAGCTGAGACAGCTGCAGCTGCATCAGAATCAGCTCACAGGGACGATACCCGGGTCTGTTGGGAACCTGCTTGCTCTTGAAACATTCACAGTGTACAGAAACGCGCTGCTGGGACCTCTCCCGAGTTTCATGGGTAAATTTCCTTCCAGCTCGTACCGAGAGAATGGGTTCTGCAGCACCCAAACAGGAGGGAGTTGTCCTGCTGATGTGAATGCCCTGCTCGGATTTCTACAAGGGGTAAATTACCCTTTGGCTCTGTCGACTTCTTGGGAAGGAGCTCTCCCATGTGGGTCTCCTAACTGGCTCGGTGTTACCTGCTCTCCCGGGGGCCAAGCCTCAGTCGTAGGCCTGGTGCTGCCAAACCTGGACCTGACAGGCTCGGTGACGTCATCATTGGCGAACCTGACAACATTGGCGGCCATAGTTCTCAAGAACAACAACTTAAGCGGCTCCATTCCGGATTCCCTCACGTCCTTAAGCCAGCTCACCCTGCTTGACGTCAGCAACAACCGCCTGTCCGGCCCTTTGCCTGCATTCCCCCCCCAAGTCGAGGTGGTTACCACTGGTAACAGTTTTGGACCGGAACCAACACCAGCTCCGTCCTCCGCCCCTTCCCCACCGCCCGCCCCCTCTCCTGCCGCTCCTTCCTCCTCTCCACCTTCTTCCCCTCCCCCTGCCCCATCCTCCTCCCCCGCTCCCCCATCTGGCCCCACTCCCCCGTCCACCTCCCCCCCGTCCTCCCCCCCATCCTCACCCGCGCCCCCATCCTCCCCTTCCCCTGGAGTCCCATCCCCCCCTTCCGCCCCCTCCCCATCCGCATCAGAGGCGCCTGGGGGAGCTGGTGGGGGGACGGATGCAGGGGCAGGGCTGGTGGTGGGGGTGGTGGTGGCGGCAGCAGTGGTGGCGCTGGTGGCGGGGCTGGCTGTGGGGTGGTGCTGCTGCGTCCGCCCAGGCAAGGGCAAGAAGCTTCCCCAAACGGCCCCCCACCCCGCCACCTCCTCCGTAAACCCTTTGGCAGCACCTGGACCGCCAGCAGCCGGAGCAGGAGGAGCAGGAGGAGAGGGAACAGCAGAAGGAGCAGGAGCAGGAGCAGGAGCAGGAACAGGAGCAGGAGGAGCAGTGATAGCGCATGCGCGGTTGGCACTGGGAGGGGGGCTGACAATGAGCATAGAGGTGATTCGCGGGGCAACGGGGGGCTTCTCCCCCAGTCACGTGGTGGGGAGGGGCGGGTTTGGCACGGTGTACCGGGGGGACATGCCTGATGGGAGCACAGTGGCCGTCAAGAGGATGGAAGCAGGACCCGTCACTGAAGCAGGCACTCGAGAGTTCTTGGTGAGTGGGGTAGAGGGGGGGAGGTTGGCACAGATTTGGTACGGTGTACCGTGGCGACATGCCTGATGGGAGCAGTGGCCGTGAAGAGAATGGAGGCCCGGCCCGTCTGTGAAACTGGGACTAGGGAGTTCTTTATGAGTGGGGTGGTAAGAGGAAGGGTGGCCGAGCTTTAGCACAGTCTATTGTGGAGGGGCACATAGTGGGGGGCGCATGGGGGAGGGTATACGTCTAATGGGTGGAAGTGGAGCGATTGGAATCTCGAGATGCAGAGACCCATCAGTGAAGCAGGCTCTCGAGAGTTCTTGGTGACTGAGTAGGGTGGCTCAAATGGTTTATTTGACACAGCCTACAGCCCACAGGATACCCTGTATGCTTCTCCTTCTACGCATCTTTCTCCTTCCTTCCCCCATCCCACGAGTCCGAGGTGGCTGTGCTTTGCAAGGAGTGGCCGTGTCGTTGACCCGACCCAGTACGCTCCCTCTCCTGCTCCTCCTTGCTGCCCTTGCACCCTCCCATTCCTATGCGCGCCCCTCCCACCCCCATCTTTGCAC